TACAGTTTGAGAGATCGATATGGCGCAAACAGTACTTCTGCATGGCGTACTTCATACAACCATCTATGAGGTTGATAGGCTCATGGCTAGTGGTTGCAGCATCTTCTTCTGCAAGGTATATACATATATATCACTTTCTTTTTTCTTCTTTCTGAATTGCATTGAATATCTGCAGATTAAATCATTCTGTAGTTGTTTTTTGTTATTCAGTTTTCTTCTCTTGAAGCATATCTGAGAAAAATTATGCCTCAGTCTCCATTCAAGACTTGATGATCAAGTCATCTAATCTTTCTTTTACCTCTCAAGTTTAATTTTAACATATATCTTTCATTGACATATCATCCAAAATTCTCACTGATGCAAAGTATTCCTTCAAACAAAAATTGTGCTAGAGTGAGTGGTGGTGATAGATACTCAGGTGACCATCAAATTTCCATGTTTATATTTGGCTCTGTGCTTTCGTCCTTCAAAGTGGCTAGCGCACAGTAACATTTGTGAATTTTCGACCTTGAGTCAATAATGGCAACATTTATGATATTTCTCCTTGAGTCAATAATGGCATGTTGATCCATATCCATAAATGACTTGCAAAGAAGCCTTTTAACTTTCTAAGTATGGTTTAATATGGTTCTATTTTCTGTTAAGTATGGTTTAATATGGTTCTATTTTCTGTTGACTTGCAAAATGTAAAAGATCTAACTTATGATTTCAACTGTAGCTTCTTAAAAAGTCAGTTGAGTTTGGGAAAGGTTCCAAACTCTATGCTACGATTGATTTGGAAAATGCTAGGGTTGGCCGAACCAGACTGCTTGAAAATGCAACTAAAAATCCCCGGTGGCGTGAATCTTTTCATATTTACTGCGCCCACAAGGCTTCTAATGTTGTTTTCTCTATCAAAGAAGACAATGCTATTGGGGCCACAGTGATTGGAAGAGCTTACATGCCTGCTGCAGAACTCCTTAATGGAGAAGAAGTAGACAGATGGCTTAAGATCTTGGATAATAACAATAAACCTTTACATGGAGGTTCCAAAATCCATGTGAAATTACGGTTGTCAAGCGTAAACGAAGACCCTAATTGGTCTCGTGGAATCAGAAGTCCTGAATTCCCAGGTGTTCCATACACATTTTTCACACAGAGGAATGGTTGCAGAGTTACCCTTTACCAAGATGCTCATGTCCCAGACAATTTCATCCCAAAAATCCCTCTTGCTGGGGCCAAGTGCTATGAATCACACCGGTGCTGGGAAGACGTTTTTGATGCCATTTCTAATGCAAAGCACTTAATATACATAGCAGGTTGGTCTGTATGTACTTCAATCACATTGATAAGGGACCTAAAGAGGCAAAAGCCAGGAGGAGATTTGACTCTGGGAGAGCTTCTAAAGAAGAAGGCAAATGAAGGAGTTCAGGTCCTAATGCTTGTTTGGGATGACAGAACTTCAGTGAGGTTGCTAAAGAGAGATGGAGTGATGGCTACCCACGATGAAGATACCGAAAGTTACTTCCATCACACGAAAGTTCACTGCGTATTATGTCCTCGAAATCCTGACAACGGGCAGAGCATTATCCAGGATTTAGAGGTTTCTACCATGTTCACTCATCACCAGAAGATTGTGGTGGTGGACGGTGAATTGCCCAATGGAGGATTAGAAAAGAGGAGGATTGTGAGCTTCATTGGTGGCATTGATCTTTGTGATGGGAGATATGACACTCCCTCCCATCCCATTTTCAGGACTTTAGGCACAACCCACAAGAATGATCTCCATCAGCCCAATTTTGCTGGTGCCTCAATCACAAAGGGTGGACCAAGGGAGCCTTGGCATGACATTCATTGTAGGTTAGAAGGGCCTATTGCCTGGGATGTCCTGTTCAACTTTGAGCAAAGATGGAGGAAGCAAGGTGGGAAGGACTTGCTTGTTGAGCTGAGAGAACTTGATGACACATTTATACCTCCATCTCCAGTTATCTTCCCTCAAGACCATGAAACATGGAATGTTCAATTGTTCCGGTCCATCGATGGAGGAGCTGCATTTGGATTTCCTGACTCTCCTGAAGATGCTGCCAGGGCAGGTCTTGTTACTGGGAAAGATCATGTGATTGATCGAAGCATTCAGGATGCATATATCAATGCCATCCGGCGAGCAAAGAGTTCTATCTACATTGAAAACCAGTATTTTCTTGGAAGCTCTTTCTCTTGGCATTCAGATCATACCCTTAAAGTTGAGGAGGTTGGTGCTTTGCATTTGATTCCAAAGGAACTGTCTCTAAAGATTGTTAGCAAGATTGAAGCTGGAGAAAGGTTTACTGTCTACATTGTCATGCCCATGTGGCCAGAGGGTATCCCAGAAAGTCAATCTGTTCAGGCAATATTGCACTGGCAGAAGATGACAATGGAGATGATGTATAAGGACATTGTTCAAGCTCTACAAGCCAAGGGGCTTGAGGCAAACCCCAGGGACTATTTGACATTCTTTTGCCTTGGCAATCGTGAGAAGAAGCGAAGTGGAGAATATGAACCTCCAGAAAAACCAGAACATGATACAGATTATAGTAGAGCTCAGCAAGCCAGGCGGTTCATGATCTATGTTCATGCCAAGGTGATGATAGGTAAGCCAATCTATCACATTCTTCTTAATTATTTGAATTCTTAATTAACTAGATTGTACTAATTAAAATGTTTGAAATGTCTGGCTTTTGCAGTTGATGATGAGTACATAATCATCGGATCGGCCAACATCAATCAGAGGTCAATGGATGGTGCCAGGGACACAGAGATTGCCATGGGAGCCTACCAACCACATCACCTATCAACCAGAGGGGCAGCCAGGGGCCAAATCCATGGTCTCAGATTGGCATTGTGGTATGAACACTTGGGCCTGCTTGATGACACCTTCCTTGAACCAGAGAGTGTAAAATGCATCAGAAAGGTGAACCAAATTGCTGAAAAGCATTGGGACCTTTTTTCATGTGAGACATTGGATGGTGACTTGCCAGGGCATTTGCTTAGCTACCCCATTAGGGTTGCTGCTGCAAATGGAGAGATCACAGAGTTGCCTGGAACAGAATTTTTCCCAGACACCAAGGCTCGAGTTCTAGGCTCCAAATCTGAGTTGCTTCCATCAATCCTCACTACTTAGAGTGATGATCTCCTTTGTTTCTCTCTTTTAAATGCTAGCCGCTAGGTGCATTGTAATCATGTCTTGATATAATGAGCACATAGCATAAGCATAAATATTGAAGTCATTGGGTTACCAGACACCTATTGTATTTAATTTAAATCTTATGATCCAACGGCTTCAACATCTGAGTTTATGCTGTGTGCACTTGTTAATTAACTATTCCTGTCTCAAATTTAACATTTTTTTTAGTTTTTTTTTTCTTCCAGAAGGGTTATACTTCTAAGCTTGCCAGCAGCAAATTGTTGTACTTCTTTGACTACTCAAAACAGGACATCTCTACCTTAAATGTTTTGAACGAACAGCCAGCTGTAGGAAAAAACTTTCTTGCAACGGGTATAGCACCGTTTTGCTATCCCCGTTGCATGAGAGATTCTCTCTAGCTGTAGATGTAAACACTTTCAACACCCTACTCTCCACCTACGTCTTTATTTTGATGAGACAATCTTCACAAACAACCTTTCAAATCTGTTTGTTTCAATTATTGGGATTTGATATCTGCTTTTGGAACCATTAACATATACACTTTAAGACAGTAACTAATTATGGTCATAATTCCTATTCAACTATTCAAACTCCTTTGTTTACATCTCTAAGAAGAACCATTTCCTTGCAGAAGAAGTGATGGCATAGAATAGATGACTTGTTGATATTGATTATCTTGAAAAGGGTCTAGAACCTTTATCTTGTCAACTACTTATTTAGGTTAAATACTGAGATAAATTCATTCATGCATGTTATCTTTTAATATGTTGTCTTTCTTAACTTGTTTGTTCCTTATCTTACTCAAACTCTATATAATAAAATATTTGAACCAGTTCATAATGTTTTTCATACGGTCTATCCATTCTAGAATTTAGGGAAACATCCAACAACAATCTAAGGCCATTGCCTATTGGCTTTTGGGAACCTAACAGGGCCACATGTAACATTGTGACTGAGTTCTGAGCAATATTAACTGGCGAGGATGATGCATGCGCAGCTTGCTCCAATTATTTTATTTCTTTTCTTCTGTCATCAAACCTCTAAGCCTTTGACTCCATTGGTCCTAAGTCATTTTCCTATCTTCAACTAGATCTGACCATCAAGAACTCCAATCTTTTGGCATGGAACGGCTTGACATGTCATGGATGACAAATTTAAGGCTGCGTATATTCAAAGAAAAACCCTAATAATTGAACCCTCTGTGCCATTCTCACGCTCCTTATATTGCAGTGCAATTCACTACTCTCTGTTTCATCTGGGTAAAACTAACATTACCCATGTGCTGCTGCAAATTGATCCCAATTATTACACCAATCAAACTCATGAATTGGAAGCATATTCACATACTCACAATTCACAAAATAGTAGAGATGCACTTTACATACATATTTATCTCACTGAGCCTCTCTCCGAAACAGTGTTCAAATCGTTACGGCTTTTGTGCGGATCGGAACTTACAAGATTCGGGTTATGCAAGAGGGGTGCCTTGCACGTAGCTAGGGTTCTAATTAATCCTCCACATTCCATAAGTTTGTGAAAGTGTCAAAAAGTAATGCTGCTGAGGTAGTTAGTCTCGCTTCCTCCCCAATTTCCAAACAAGCAACTGACGTCACCAATAATAAAACTCTCTCTTCATTTGGCACTGCCGTGCGGTGCACGAGCAAAAGTTAATAAGCCGACACTACACAGCACAAAGACGGACAGAAACGGAGTCCCCATTTCCCCCTCCCCTAATAAAAATACATTTTTACCAATTCAAAGAGAAAAAGAAAAGGACCCAAAAAAGAAATAAAAAAATTATTATAAAAGAAAAAAACTAATGACCAATGGTTGATCAAAATGTTTACAATAAAATAATCCCATTTGGCTGAATTCAATATCATATTCACATGTAGTTCCCACTGCACCACCATAACTATTTATCCACCTTCTAGGCCAGCCCCCCAACCCAAGTATACTTCTATTAAACCACACTACCCTCTCCCTCATTCATGTAAGTCCACTTCTTTTTTGTTTCTGGTTTCTGTTTCTTTCTTATCTGTTTTTCTTCTTCTTGGAGAGAGAGGAATTAAAGAAAGAGAAAAAGATCATGTCTTCAGTGTTGGGCTCACAAGGGGTGGTCTTGGCCACAGCCATGGCGGTTTCTGGCACTGTCATCCTCCTAGCTCTTCGCCTACAGAAATCCTTGCCCAATTCTCACTTCCCAGTTGACCAAATCAACCAGTCCTCACCTCAAATTCTACGATCTTGTATATCTTCTGGTATGCTTAACATTCCCTGCTCCCTCTGTTTCCTCTGTTTCTTGTTTAATACTCTGTTTTCTCTGTTTCATGGTTAATTCTCTGTTTTCTCTGGCTCATGGTTAAATGGCTAATTATATACATGGTTGCTTTAATTTTTCTTGTTGGGTCTGCAGAAGGAAAGAAGAGGAGGAAGAAGAACAAAAGGGTGCACTTTGCAGAGGATGTGGTGGATCCAAGTGGAGATGGTCAGGAGTTTAGAAGGCAGCATCAGATAATTACCTCCACTTCTTCCAATTCTTCTTCTTCTTGCTTGTCGGCATCTTCAACTTCATCTACAGTACTGAATTTTAAAAAGACAAGGGCCCAAAAATTCAAAGGACCAATGCCTGCTAACCGCGCGGCTCTCTACAATGGAATTCTCAGGGATCGTGTGGTTCACCGATTGGCCTACTCATACTGATTCACACGTTCTCTGTATATTGTGTATAAACATTAGTGCTTTCTTTTTCTTTTTCTTCTTTAATTTGTACAAATTTTCTTCTGAGGTTATAAGGAATATTCGGAATTGTAAGGAATGATGGGCCCACAGGTTTTGGTAGTTGTTGCCGTTTTATGTTTCTCCTAGTAACATGATTGATTGGGCACAGGGTGGATCCTCTTTAATGAATGGAACATTTTTTTTGTTGATATTTCAATCCTTCATCTTCTTGGGTTTCTTGAAGCAACTGAAAATTTTCAACAAGATTCAGCCTTACTTCTTTCCTCTGTTCTGTGGCTCTGTGTAGCTCTAGCTGCCTGATTCCTACTTTAAAATGTTGCTAGCTACCAAAAAAAATATCAAAGGAACGGTTGGATTGTAATAGTGCCTCTCCAATATCTCTCCTCTTTCAGGGTCCACAACAGGCCAATTAATAAATATGGGATTTGCATTTACAGAATTTGCCCACCATTTTGCTCTGTTTCCTGTGACTTGGTAGACTTCCAAATCCACACACCAAAAAACAAAAACGAAAAAAAAAAAAAACCTTTGAAATTGAGAGCCCTATGACCCTGTTGAAGGAAGAGAACAGAGACAATGTCAATGTGAGAATTTGAGTTGGTCTTCTTCTTCTTAGGCTGAACTTGTTCACAACTTGCTGGGGTCTGACTGATGATTGTAATTGAATAATGTGTGGGTGTTTTTGTATCATGTGTGTGCTTCTTTTGACAAATAAATTCCTTCACATGTGTATGTATGGTAGCATCCATGCAGAGTGTGAACACAGCCATGTGCCTGCCACTGCCAGGATGCTTCCTCCTCTATCTACCCACTAGCCAACTACCTTTATCTTTACCTAATCGCACAATCAAATAACAAAGACTTTTACTCCTTGACCTGATAAAACCTTGGATAAGAAGCAAAGCTAACTATCAACAACATACACAGAGAAAACATAAAATTATTGGCCCATCTCCATCGCAGCATATGAATTGATTCTTGACTAACAAATCATCAAAATAAAATAAAATTGATTCTTGACTTACTGCAAAGCAAACATATTCCAGAGAGAATGGAAAAAACAACACTTATGAAAATGGCCAAACATGCATGCACCATTTTGATTGAGGTCATTGGGGGTCCGAAAACTCTTACAGAACATATGAAAAATGAAAATTTGGTGGTCAATTTTGTTTTTATAGGAATATGGCAAATAAGGACAGAGGAGAAAATAGAATAGAGTCCTTCCTTGCATTTCCCTGCTCTGTTTCTTTTTTCTTCCATCATCATGTGAGTGTAGGCTCATTTCTGACGCTTTAGGCTCTGTGGTTATGGATGAGACATGCCAAGCAAGAGATTGGAGAAAAGTAAACCAACCAAAACATGTAGAAGCGGAATGGGCAACTGAAATTTGTATTGGTTTATATATATATATATATATATATATATAATATATGTATAATTATGAGCTTCTTTGTCTTGCTACTGTTGCATTTGTTGAAAAGGAGGGTTCAGTATGTTGTTTGTGGGGGCTCATGCTCACGGTGCGTCCCATCCCGTATGTCTTCTGTCTGTTGTTTAATCCAAATTTGTTTTGTTCTGTTATTAAATTCCAATTTGATTATTTTCTTATGTCTTTCTTATTGGAGAGTACAAGCTGCAACAGCAGCATGTTCCAAGTTCCATAGTTTTGGTCTGGTCACCAAATCACACCCAACCAACCAAATTTGAGAACTTTGTTGTGTATTGTATTTCTTCTGTTCTTAGCCCCCTCACTCGCCACCACTATATGTCAATTTGGGCTGTGATTGGTTACTTTGGAGGTAATTTAAAGACTGCCCTTTAACAAATTGAAATCCCACAATTATTATCTTCATCATGCTTGGGGATTTGATGTGTAACAGATTGGCCCTGTTGGGCAGTGTTCTTGCAAGCTTTGTGACTTTGGCCAACATGTCGGTTCTAGCTTTGGCAATTCATAGCGCATCATGCACCAAATCCAATTGGGTCTAAATCAAGCTCAAAGTCTTCCATAGCAAACCCGCAACATATTGTCTCGCTTACTCTTAAAAATGAAAATACAAGCGATATTAATTAGGAGAAATTATAACGCATAATCTCGTAAGTATGAGTAATTACCTTTAACCCAAAAAAGTCTCGCTAACTACTGAATAATGATGATTTTCTGAAAAAGAAAGTTAATGATTACTTTGGTTTGGTGAGCAAAGCGTCCAATTATTATAGATGCCAATTGAATGGCAAAAAACATATAATAGCAGTGGAAGGTGACCAACACATTCACACAGGTCCATTCACAAATCACCAGCGCAGTAAAAAGGAGCATGACATCTGCAAAATCTATAGGTAGATGCTTCCTGGATCCACTTTCTTTGTGACCTCATCAACTTTGTAACATTTTTCTATGTGAAAAAGAGAAAAAAAGAGGAGGCTTTCCTCTTTTAAGTGGTCCAATGGCCCTCCGTTCAGTCAATAAAAAGAGCCACTGCTTTTTTGCTGTATTTAATTAAGCCTTTAATTATACAGCATTTAACATAAAACCTAATATTAAACTTTGCAAATTACAGCAAGGTGTGCTCATCTTACCTCATCGTGGCTTGCCATAATGTACTTTAAAAATTATCGATTGAAAGTAGAAGAAGAAACACGAAATTTTAAAAAAATGAAAATACTAGCCAATCAAATTCCAACATGTTTAATTTATTAGTACAAGTGACTTCATCCGATTTGGCATATTAGGTGGGAGAGGTGAAAGCTTGCCTAAACATGGAATGGAAGCGTTGAAATTAATTTGGTCACCGCTAAAGTAGCCAAAATAAAATGGTTTAATTGAAGATAAGGATGAGCAAGCTTAGTGTGTTTTTTATATATAGTAAACGTGATAGTCTAAACTCTAAACTAGAGGGGAGGGGATTTCTTGATGTCATAGGGATATGCAAATCAATACCCTTTTTCATTAGGTTAGACTTTACTGGTAGAGCGAACGAGCTTACTTACTCTCCATTTTTTGTTATAGTAAAATGTATTAAATAACAAAAAAGAGTATAAGTAAACAAAAAGGAAATGCGAAAATCATCACGCTAGTGTTAATAATCAATTAATTAACACTAATCCTAATTGTACTTCATCAGTGGGCATGGGGTTGTTGAGAGTTAAATATTAATTACAAATGTTGGAACATCCCTAACATACGTAACTATTAACTAATTACAGCAAAGAATCATGAATCGGCATCCTTAGATTCCGGAAATCAAACGCGTTTGTTTATAATTTGCCAACAAATTTCATCCATCAGTGGAAACATTTTAGTTAACCCCTGTACTAATCATGCTTGTCACTTTAGTGTTGCGTGCCATTTCACCAAGTACCAATAATTCTTTGTTTATTATCAAATATCTTTCAACACAAAAGATTGCTGATTTAGCCCCCCGCGTTTTGTTTGTCTCCGTCATCAATTTTTTTTTAATTTAATAAAAAATCATTGTCAAACTTAAGATAAATGGCGATAGTCAATGATCATTGGTGGGCTTCTAAAGAAAGCGGTGACCTCCTTTTTCCTTTTTTTTTTTTTTTTTTTTTTTTTTTTTTTTTTTTTCCTCACCAACGACCGCTACAAGCGTTATTCTCTTCAAAAGCCCAAAGCCCAAAGACCAAAGCCCATTATCTTCTATGTCAGGCTATACTTTTTAAATATATTCGAATATTTATTCGATGGATTTTGATTCTGATTATTTCATAATTTTTAAAAGGATAAATTACTCAAATAGTCCTCAAACTTGTACGTGATTTAATTTTGATCTCTAAATTAAATTATTAGTCCAAATGGTACATAAACTTTATTTTAATCGCCTATTTGATCCAACCGTTACATTTTCTGTTAAATATAACCAAATTTTAGGGGCAAATACCACTTTTCGTAATTAACAAATAAAAAGGTTTTTTAGGTTTTAGACATAAAAAAAATTTCACTTTTAGAAAAAGCCAAAGCTTTTTCAAAAAAGACAAAAAAACCACTCAACTTTCAAATCAAAGACATGCAAATGTATTGAATTTCTTAGGAAATCTAAAAATAAATAAGGGTATTTTTGTCCATTTTTGCTTCTTTTAAAAATTTTCTCTCTCCTTTTGCTTTTTCCAAAATGTCCCCAAATAAAATAGCGTTAAAACAAATATAAAATACAAAAATGGCGATGAAGATGATGCTCTGCAATACTTTCTTCTTCTTTCTTCGTAATCCCATTGAACCCATTTCAATGGCTGGAAGAAACAAAGACATATTGAATAATCAAAAGCTGTTTAATTTGCAGGTGCTTGGACTCTATTCTTCATGCTAAACACAAAAGCATCTTGGAAGCAAACAGGGATGAAAAAGTTGAAACTGACAAGCAAATGCCATTCGATTATATTCTGGAATTGAAAAAACTCTTGGGTTCTTCGGCTAAGAACTTCAAGAGTTATCACAATTTTTCTTGAAAGTTAATATTTTTCTTCATTTTTACTACCCAATTTGTGAACTACTGGGAAACTCATAAAGCACATGAAAAATTGATAGTGGCTGTGATTTTGGGAGGTGGGGTTGGCGAGTGATGAGGTGGGGAGGAGGGTGGTGGGTGGTTGTCTCTCAATAACAAAGGGAAATCAAAGGGGAGGGGGAGAGGGTCTGGGTGGTTGTTGGGATGGGGTTATGGGTAAATTCCCTATAAACCCTAACAAGCTCATCCCATACCATAGAGGCTGAATAATTGTTGTTGCAGAGGCCAACCAATTTGTTCAAATATGCTCTGATTTGATCGTACATTCGAGCTCTTGACAATATATGTACAATTATACCATAAGACTTGAGGTTGGGCCTAAATTTTTGTTGCTTTGAAGCCAATTTGAAAAAGCTGAAGCAGGCTACTAGGTTTAGCTTCAATTTTCAGAGGATGGTGTTGAGGAGTTGGTCGGAGACCACCTCCACCAAGATGGCTGGGGCACAGATCCTCTTAGCCAATGCTTTCTACGGGTAGGTTCAGGGGTAAAAAAGAAATGAGCGGAGGTGGGGTAGGGGATTTGTATGCTCTGCATCATGGGTTGCTTCTCATGTGTTCAATGAAATGCACAAATGAATATAGAACTGGAGATGATGTTGAACAAAAATCTGGAGCTTAAGAAATGTTTTATGAATGTGGGCAGGGAAATAAAAGGCAATTTGATATAGATGAGATTTTGCTGAATGAATTGAGAGGTCATCGGATTATAAATGGAGAGATGGGTTTGGGATGGAGGGTGGTTGTTGGATAGGTTTGGGTGGAGAGTGGTTGTGGGATGGGTTTGGGGGTTGGAGCTTGAGGGTGGTGGCTGGGGCCTAAGGTGGAGAGAGAGAGAGATTTATTTCATTTTTGAGTATTTATTTCTTTTTTAATGTACGAAATGACCAATTTGCCCTCATATTTAACAGCAACATTGACAGAATGTAACGGTTGGATCAAATCGACGATTAAAATATAGTTTATTTACCATTTGGACTACTAATTTAATTTATGGACCAAATTGTAAATCGCGTACAAATTTGAGGACCATTTAAGTAGTTTACATTTTTTTAAATTTATATTTACTATCCAGAATGAAGACTTGTTACTATATTTTTCTTCCTATTAGGTTTTTTAAAATTTAAGTTTGCTTCCGGTGTTGTTATTTGTATTGCATATAGTTTGGTTTCTGCAAGTGATAAAGAAAGGAGTAAATTTTCTACTAAAATGAAAGTATTTTAGTTATGGTCAGTCTTACGAGGGAAGTACTCCAGTTACCATTTTTCATAGAATACAAATGGGCTTGCTGATTAGCAGTCATTTTTAAGAGTATAGCCGCGCGGCTATCATATTTGAATATAGTTGTTTTTTATTTTTTATTTGTATTTATTCGAATATGCCTATTTATTTTTTATTTTTTAAAAACAAAATTAGTTTGTTTATTTTAATATTTTTAATTAAGAAATATCTTAACCTAATTAAATTACTTTAATTTTAATTATTATTTTTTTTCATAATTTAATTTCATAAATTACTTAATAAATAGTATTTAATTATTTTATATTCTTTTATAGACTTGAAAAATTATTTTTAAGTTCCAAAAGTATTTTTAAAATAGTTTCTATTATTATAAAATCCTGGAAATTTCTTTTTAAGTACCCAAAAATATTGTAACAACTATTTTAGGATTCCAAAAATTGATTTTAGCCTCCAAACTCAAAATCCAAGTCTCGAACCAAAAACCCTAACTTCCAAACTTATTCCAAAACCGCTCTAAAGCCTAGCATCCTAAGCATAAGCCTACTCTAGGGCACACGATTAGGCTTGGATACTCACGTAACAGTATGGTTCAATATGTGCAGAGGAAGTGCAGAAAGATGGAGCATACTCAACAAGCCATTCTGGTTTGACACAAGTAACGCCGTGCATTAATGGTGGTCCTGAGCTTGTCTGTATTAACTCAGTGTACACCAAAAACTCAGGGGCTGGATTAGAAACAGATGACCTGTGGTCGAGGTACACGGTTTCTTCAACCAGGCAGGCTTCATACCCAACTGCACGAACTTTTCTATCTCCTGATTTGGATGAGCCAATGCGTGTGGCAACCCTATCCGCCCAACCAGCACAAATAGCTTGGCACAAGAGCTTTTCATCGTCAACTGAGAGAGGCTTCTTATCATGGAAACCCTCCAATCTTCTTTTACATCTCCCAGGTTCATAAAAATTCTTTCTCACCGTCAGAAACACCATTTTGATATTTAAAGAAAATTTTGAGTAGCTGCTTTCTCAGCTTGGACATTTCCTGCATGATGGTCGGGTGTAGAGCATTGTCATTGCGGAATCTCAATGGGCTGTTGGAAAGTTCATAGCACTGCAAAGCATAAGCCCTGGACAGAGCATCACTGTCCACATTATAAAGCTTTCACGAGACACTAACTTCTCTTCATTTGAATAATCATATCATAAGGTTTTTCTTCATCAGTTGTCATTTCAAACTTAATGCTTACTGGAAATTGTCTGGCACTGACATCTATATCCGGTGGGGGATCACGAAACAGCTTTCTATTATTCATAAAGTCTTCAATTCGCTAGGTAGCACTCATCAGCACAAGCTTTAACGGAAAAACTTGCTGCCCAGGACTTGTCGTTCTTCCCGAAAGCACCGCCTTTTGCTGCTCTGCATATTCTTTCTGCCATCACATGCAAATGAGAATAATAATAAAAAGGGGTTGTAAACCTTGATTAATACAAGTTTTAGCAGTTATAAGCACCACATCAAGCTTTACATGACGAGCACTAATTACACCAGATAGCATTCCGATAAGTAAGTCCGTGTTCAACCTCAGCTCATGAACCTCGTCAAGAATTATGACAGAGTATCGCTTAAACTTATCAGATGCTTTTTGTAAAAGCATCCGTAACTTATCAGATGCTTTTTTCAAATTTCGGAAACATTTTTCGAAAAATCGGCCTAGGCGCCCGCCTAGGCGGCTAGGCGGGTCTGGGCGCCTGGCTGTCGGGTCGGTTTATTTTTATTTTTATCATGTGAGAATTATTGACTGAGACAGAGGTTGGGCCCAACATAGTTCGCTGGCCTTGAAGCCCAATAAAGGCCCACCACAAATGTGGATACGGGTTGGGCCCAACATACTTGGTTCACGGAAACAGAGGTTTACACTCTCAGACGCAGACGCTGAAGAAGAAGAACGACGAAGCAGCACACACACCCACACTACAGAGAGAGGCGGGGTCATTTCTTTATCAACCAAACCAAACGCCGTCGTCGTCAGCCATCAGGTACTTGTTGTGCTCCATTGATGTACGAAAATATGTATAGAATTGTCCTCTGCTGAACATTTGCTATTGGGTGCTAGTAATTTCTACATGCTTCTAGGATTTCTGTAATTGGTTTTATATAAGGGTCTTCACTAATATACCCAAAATAGTTGAAATTATAAAAAAAAAAAACCCCACATGGAATGCACTTTAGAAACACACCCCAAATTCATTTACTATATAAGAAATTGGTGTTGAAATTCCTATAAATTACAGGACTGTCACTGATGCCCAACAGAAAAAGAAAAGAAAAACTCAAAAAACACCCAAAACAAACCCAACCCAATTTTATAAACAAGCCCAAACTTTTTTTTTTTTTTGTTACAAAAAGTCCAAACATTTTATTACAACACAAAACTGTCTCGAAAACAGTAACTTCAAGCATGCATCTTTATTAAACCATCTCTGAAAAACATCTCTTCATTTCACCGTCTTCATCATTTATGCAAACTACATTTGCTATTGCGTGCTAGTAATTTCTACAGGCTTCTAGGGTTTCTGTAATTGGTTTTACTTATGCATGTTTTACCTGTTTTTTTAGATGAATACAAGGCGGATTTTGATCCAACAGTCGGCATTTGTTTTTGGTTTAATATGAATTTTATGAATGTACTGTGGATTGTGAATCTCTCATGGATTTGATAATCTGAACCTACTGATGGTGATGCCATATTATAATTAGGTCCCTTCATTTACAAAAATTGAAAATTTAACTGATTACTTTGCCAGCTTCTTGTTCAATTTGCAACTGTTTTTTGTTTCTCATTAGTCATCTCAAGCATGACTTGGGTTGGTGCTGAATTTGATGGTTTCTTAAATTTTTGTTTTTGTTTATAAAATATATGAATTCAGTAGCCATGAAGGTGCGTTCCTCTGTGAAGAAGATGTGTGAGTTTTGTAAGACGGTTAAACGTCGTGGGCGTGTTTATGTGCTTTGCACAGCCAATCCCAAGCATAAGCAAAGACAGGGCATGTCAACATTTGCATACGAAGGCACGGTGTCTTCCATGTACGCTTCCTTTCATGCCTTCATTTCTCTTTTTTTATGCTTTTATATGTTTACTTTGGCAAATTCTTCTGATTGCGTTAATCTTAAAAGGAAACATCCCATGTTAAGCACCCCGTAATCTAAGACAGAACAAAACATGTTAGACGAATTCACTCCAAATCTTCCCTAACACCTGGAGATCCCTTGCCTCTTGTAAATTTGTTGTACATAGTTTGTTTGGTGGTTTTACTAAGTGATTCTTGGATACTTCTTATCATTAAGCACACAAAAAGGCACTTTTCCTACTATATGTGGACCTTCATTTGGCAAGCCTGCATAAGTTGGCCTGGAGCCTCCTTTTGTATAATAAATGTTATCTAGGAGATTAGGACTTGGCAATCTTTCCATAGAACAAAACTCATAGCGGTTACAATGCTTTTAGTCATCAATTTGGCAGAAGAGAAACAACAATTTATGGAGTCAAGGGTTTAGGTTACTGCATCGTCTAATTCTAACTTCTGAGATGGTGGTTGCCATTTTTTTACACTATTGTATCTAGCTTACCTGCTCCATGTGGTGTTTTTCATGCATGTGTGTCTATAATCATACTTTTTGCTGATATGAAAGTAGCTTTTCAGTTTTTCATTAGTTCTGTCTGGCATATATAGCATGAATTTAGTCATATGTGTAAAGATTTTAATAACTTCAGAACATGTTAGTAGTAACCTAACATGTGAATCTGTATGTTCACAAACTGCTGCATATCTGTATGTAGATGTCTCACATGCGAATCTTTCTCTTACACATGAACTTCCTATAGAAATGTGATGCGGCAATGGAGTGAAATTGGCAATTTTTTAATTGAATGTTTGAATTCTTTTCAGGTACACAGAGACTAGTGCCAAGCTGGAGAACAGCTCTGGTCACACCGTGCAAGCAGGTCTGGCCTCTCTGATACCCAAAAAGCACGAACCCTCGATGCCCTCTATACCCTCTACGATACTTGGATGGAGGGTGGGCCTGGCCTCCCTGCTGTTCAACAAGGCCAAGTAGCTTTGAAATTTGAAATGGGAAGAATGCAAACCTTATCTCAGTTTTTAGGTTCCTTTCTTTGGTTGTGCTGCCAGAGATATATTCAAAATGTTATTAGCTCCTCTCTTTTTCTCTTGGATTTTAACTTTTAATCTGCTACTATATATAATACTTCCATCTCTCCCTCGCTTTCTGGTGTGTGTGTGTGTGTGTGTTTAGACTTAGCTGTGCTAGAGATTCTGATCGTAGCGACCTTACCTGCTCCACATATATAATTCAGGAAATGAGATGGCTCGAATTGTTAAGGACACTTTATCTGATTTCCTGGAAGAGAATTAGATGGTATGAAAGTGAAACGTAATTTGGATGTTGCAAGAGTTTTCTTTTCATATTCATTTTACCGATCATATGGAACCAAATTAATGAATCCATATAAAATTATGAATTATGCGGGTAGGTCTACCCATCTCTCGTAAGTCATACCCGAAAGGCGAACCTTTATATATCTTAATTGACCGAAAAATAGAGGAAAAAAAAAGAGAGAGTACCCAATCATGTATGTTTCTTTTCTTTCGTGCTCGCATACCTACATAGAAACCTAATAATATTATTCAGGCATCAACATTGCAATCGGAGTTGTTTGATGGTGAGGGTGTCATATATGGATCATAGTTGTGGACTTTTATATTAGTTGCAGGATTCATTTAAATAGAAACTTCACTCGAGTTTAATGAAATGATCTTATGACTAATATAAAGGTCCTCTCATAAAATAAAGGTCCACATGAGAGGTCCAACACCTCATTATAGAATTTTGCCAATTAAGTCTTGTCTTGGGGCTTCTTGGAAATTGCCTCTCACAATCTTTGACACCCGAAAGAAAATTATGTGCAACGAGCCTTCCTGGAAATTGCCGCGCACAACCTTTTAACACCCAAAAGAAAATTAAATGCAACTAGCCTTTAGTCTGTGAATTTCAGACCAAAAAAAAAAAAAAAAAGCCTTTAGTCTGAAGATATTTTCCTTTTCTCAAGTCGTCCTCAGCAGCACGCTAGTGGGAGAAAGAAACTGCAGTGGACAGGCCCGCGTCCAGCAGCGTATTAATTAGTTAATTAATTAATGTTTAATAAATAAATCGAAAACAAAATCCAAAATCACCCAATCGAAAACAACGATTCCCACACAATCGAAGAAAACACAAGTCCACGCGGACTCGCTCTCACTTTCTCATCAATTCTTTATACACTGGACTCGATTTTCCCTTCTTCCCTGGAAAACTGGAAACCCTAAACCTCCAAATTCGTTGTTTTTAAAGTTTGTTTTCGCGGATGGAACCGGCGCTTAGCTTTTGAATGTTCCCGGCAAAACTCACTCCACTTGCAGACTAAATGGTGACGACTCTCAACGCCTCCGTGACAACTTGGATCCGTCACTTACTCGCTTGCATGGGGTAAGTCTTCGATTACACTTAACGCGAAATCCTTTATCTTTTTGTGCTTGTATTTAGTGTCTTTGTTTCTGTATCTGCTATTTATGGTAGTTATTCGGGTTCTTCCAAATCTGCTATTTTTGAAAGGTTTGACTTGCTGCTTACTGGGTTAGTAGTAAAAATTTAACTTTCTAAGTTTGGGAGCGAATTTCAGATTATAAATGCTTTCCAAGTTAAGAAATTTTGCCATCTGGGTTCTAAGAATTTGAAGTCTTTTTGGTAACAATGGCAAGTTCAGCTTGAGTTTTGAATAATTTTCCCTCAGATGTTAAATGAAATCCCCTGGGATTGGATGTATCGGAATCGATGGTATTTAGCCACTTTGAATGATTGACTTGACATATTAACACCTGTAACTCTCGCATCAACACTGTACAGTCTTTTGTTGATGGAATTTAATTGTGCAATAAGGTTTAACCTGGGTTTTAACAGAGCAGTGGTTGTTTTGGATGCTGCACTAAACCCACACCAATTATTGCCGTCGATGAGCCGTCCAAGGGATTGAGAATTCAAGGTCGAACTGTTAAGAAACCTGGCATCTCAGATGATTTTTGGAGCAGCAGTACATACGACTTGGACAATAGTGCTCTTCAATCCCAGAGAAGCATCTCATCCATCAGCACCTCCAACCAGACCCTCACCCATGGCAGTGTGGCTGGTAGCACAAGCAGCCAGTCTGACTTTGTAAATAATGGCAAGTTTTCATTGTATGCTATTTATACCGTTCTTATTTTGGTCTGGCAATTCTGTGTTCTCTGTTTAAATATGTGCTAAGAGGTCATGTCATGTTTTACCCATGTCTCTTTTACAATCCCAAACATTTAACAAGAAAAGAGGAGCCTAAAATATATAAATAGAGGGAAATGGAAAAGAGAAAACAAAACGTATTCTGTAAAGTTCCCTAGTTTTCACTGCTATGTTGCGAACCTCATGCGTGCTGATAAGAATTTAATTTTGCGATATTAAAAGTAAGTTTCTGAAGAAATATGGTGTACTTGTTTATACCAAAAGTTAGCACTCAAAGACATTTCTGATTTCTTATATTTCTTTGTGGTAAATTGAAAGTCTGTTCCTGTATATATTTATAAGTTCCATCTGGCTATGCTAATGCATTATCTACTTCTGGTGCTGGTACTTTTTTTTAAATCCTCCTTTAGTCAAGTTTGGCCTAATCCTTATCCATGCTCTTGTGAACTTCAATATTTGTAAGTGTGTAGAATGTTGACTTATAGCATTTACACTTTGTAACTGCAGGTCTTGTTCTCTGGAACCAGACCAGGCTTGAATGGATTGGAAGTGGCAAGCCTAGAAATCATACTCCAACAAGTCGGGAAAGCAGATTAAGGTATGTTACTTGTACTCTTTTACCATTTCCAAAGTAGCTGATGAACTAAATGCTTTTGCAACTTCACGAATGGAGGAAATTGTATTAGCAGGTGTATGTGGTAGAAATAATATATTCAACTATGGGTTAATCCTGGCTCCAATGAATCACATAAACTTGTATGCTTTGTATTTTAATTTGCATATATCTTTCACCCCATGGTTAACTAACTTTGTCCTTACAGTTGGAATTCAACGTATGAAAGATTGGTTGGAACCAAACAGAGACAGTCTTTCACGCAGCGCATTCCTTTGTCTGTAAGTCCTCTTTTTCCTTTTTGGGGGTGGGTCTCGTTAAGTCTTCCATCTGACTTGGCAGTTTTGCTTGATATTTGTTTTGGATTCTATGTCAGTTTATGTTGAAATGCTAATTGGGTTCATATTGACAGGACATGATAGACTTTCTCGTGGAAGTATGGGAGCAGGAGGGGCTGTATGATTGAGCGAGTATCAGACTCTGCCTTTTAACGTCAGAAAGATACTTGATCTTTGTAAATCTCAGAGTCGTGCTTACATGCCGAGGGCAAAGAAGGAACCGGAACAATGAAAATATGTTCAAGTGTAATTGTAATTTTACCCAGTGATATTTTCATCTTTTGTGCCCCCATGGAACGGTGGAACATGCCCTCCGCCTCGGATGATAGAGAACCAGTTGCCTTTGCTTGTGTGAATACCAAAAGTAAAAGTGTTTCAAAACTATACTAAACTAAGCTTCATCTCATGGTGATCTTTTGTATGTATAAATGTCTGTTTCTGTCCTTTGTTTTTCTTCCTCCCAATGTGTAAGCATTTTCTTTTTCGGTGCCTTTTTCTTTTCCTCTCTATCTTCTTCTAGGTGGGAAAGCAGTGGTGTTTCTTTGAAGGTCAGTCGTACTACTAAGCATGCATGCATGCATGTTTCGCAGCCCATGTAGGGTGCAACGAAATTGTAATTGGACCATTTTGGAATTTGACCAACACCGTGGTTGGCGGGCTGGCTGGCAATTTGATGCATGAACAAGGACGCAACTTTGCTGGTCCAAGTAAGAAATGCAAATGCGTGTATATTTGGGGAGGTCGAATTTTGATTTGGTGGAAACAAAGATTGTTTTGTGTGTGTAGAAAGTCATGACTTCCGTTCCGTACTGGGACCTAAATGGGTACTGAGCTTATCCTACGGTATAAAGATCTTCGCAGCCAATCCAAAGGTCCGTGAAGTGCACGATGCATGATGCACAATCCAAAATGCTGCCAAATTAAGCTGCATTACAGCAAGACCTCTCACACTCTTATCCGGGGGGGCTCTCTCCCCAACGGGAAAACCACCAAGTTGCATCGATTGCCACTTTTCTTCTCCACTTGGTACGTTGGTGTGGTGGTGATGAGTGAGAAAGTCTTGTCTTTTCTGAAAAAGCAAGCCCCCCCTCCCATCCAATTCAACAACTTGAGCTTGACATACTCAATTTATATTGAATCTCTCCCCCGTACTATTCTAGTACACTGAATGTTTCGAGACATTATAAACAAAACCTACAACCAACTTGAGCATCTAACTTTACATATAGACAAGAGACAAGAGGGGAGATAAAATACCAATACATTTAATGAATGAAATTATACTGCAAAGACTAGAAGTATATATTCAATTTATAACATAAAATACTTACCGAAGGATCTCTCTACGAGAAAAAAACTATAATCTTATTTCCATGTCATAAAAAGTCAGCATAGATAATATTAGGGCAAAGACTTTATTTACAGAGAGAAATTAAGAATCAAAGACTCAACAAAACCATTAGACTGGGTCTACACTCAACAAATTTAGAATTCTCACTCTTCTTATAAAATATTTTAAATTTATTTGGTCATTTCAGACTTTTGCAAGCCATTGCTACATACATGAACCCTGTGCCTACCTTTTACCTTTCCCTTTCTTTCATCTCACCTTTTCATTCATTACATAGTATGTTGGCAAGCTTATCTCATTAATCATTAACTTAATTAAGCTAATTAAGCTAATCGCATTCGTGTAGTAAAACATGATCTTGATGGGCACGAGGATGTTTGTGTGTTATTAGCTGGCATGATTGTCTGCCCTGTTGGTTGGTTCAAATTCAAGTTGATCACCCAAATTACATTACTAAATAAATATTAACTTTTGGAAAAAGTAATATGAAACTTTATTATTATTATTAGGGGCCTCATAGTGGTAAGTAAATATTAATTTTATATAGATGTAGACCAGATACAAATCACAAACATTCCGAAAAAGACCAAACACGCATTATACTACTTGTACCACCACGGGTACCTACCTTCTTCTCCACCCTCCAAAAGGTTAATTACTACCCCAAGGACTGGGGGAGTGGGTTTTTTTCTTTATATTTATTTCAGTTGGGGGGTTTGGTAAAGAAAAAATAGAGATGTGTACTTTCTTTCCTTGTTTGTTTCTTGTTTATTCCTTTTTCTAGATGAACATGAACCTTGTGGAAATTCATTGATGGAGGGAGGAGAGGG